ATTGGGACGATGGATCACGGTACTACCGTGGTCATGCATACATACAGGTTACAACAATACAAAAATTAAAACAGAAATTAGAAAAAAACACAGGGGAACCCTAGTTCCCAAATCCCGCCGATCGCTCTTTCCTCTCGATCCGCCATTGTCATCGATTCTCCTCTTCGTGTCATTTCTCACGGCTTGCGTCTCTTCTTCATCTCATCATTCTTGCTACACAAAACAAAACCAATCAAAAACCAAATGCATCACTATGACAGAGAAGAGTTACCTGCGCTCGTGAGCGAATTTGAGATGTTGACTCCGTGCGGCCGCTCTTCGTGGTGGCGTTGATGGTGATCTGCGGTGACCGAAGATGATTTCGTGAGCTGAAAAGATAAGTTTCCTTCGTTCAATTTCTTGGATTACGAGTTATAGGGTTTTTTCGGTAGGTCTCTATTTCGTATGATAGGTTTTTCATCGACGTTTTCTTCTTCTATTTCATTCTCCTTATATAGGCTCCAATTGGAGTTCCTTGTGTTAAAATCTGATTGAAACCGTTTTGAATGTTGACCGAATATTCCATTTTAGGATGAATCAAATTTGAAATCTTTCCTTTTTCGATGATTGCTGTAATGAGCCACTTAATTGACACTTCAAAACTCTGATTTTTGTGATTCAATAGGGATTCGATTTGATAGGATATTCTATTATTCCATGAATATTCCTTAACGGTTATTTTGCTGACTCTGAGGGTGACCTGGCAGGTATATGTGGCAAATGGCTTGGGCCAAAGGATGGATTAGAAGCCCAGATGGGAAATCTCGTGCCTGATGCGTCTGCTGGAGAACCTTTACGAAAAACTAGTGATGCAGGGTATGTCTTCAAATTCAATCTCTGTTCCCTTTCGCTTTTGGCATGCCGAAGCAGATGGTGTGATTAGATTAATGGCATATTGCAGAGATGTTCCTATGCTTTGTGTGATTGTTCGTTCGATGTTAAGCAGCCACTGTCCATTGAGCTGTCATTTGGTTGGTTTGTTCTATCATCAACTGAAGCTGCAAACTTGTTGACTCCATTCACAACTGCGTAATGCGACTTTGTATCAGATTGGTTGAACTTGGGGGGGGGGGGCTGACCATATGTCAAACATATCAAAGGGTTTCCATCAAATAGCAACTGAGCATAACCGTGCGAGCTTCAGACAACTTATCCACTAGGAGACTTTGATCGCATGAGGTTTATTTGCGTATTATCTAGCACAAGCAGAGGACTCCAGTCATGTGTTGCTTCCATTAATTCACCGGCCGGATTTGGGATGGTTTGGTACTACTACATTCGTGTGTTGGTGCCATCAATATACTCTTTGTTGTTTCTTCGGTTGCTTACTTGTTCTGGTATTGAAACTTTTGGATACATGTCTTCCAACGCATTAGATGCAATGTCTACCTGGGTGATTTTGGTCATCACTTTTCTGATGCATATTTTGCAATGTTTTGCTCATTCAACATTAAATTATCCTTGTCAATTCTTAAACTAACGCTGTTTTCGCTTTGTACCATATCTTCGAGGATCAAGGATGGCAGGACTGGAGGAGAGGTTGTTGCTGGAGGATAGGGAGATGAGCAATATATAAGGTTGAAAATTAGTGTGCTTGGTTAAGTATCGTGGCTGACATACTAACTGCTGGCACCGTTATCTTTTATGACAGGTATTGGCTGGTATTTCCATGGATCAAAGTATTGGTGCTTTTCCAAGAGCTTCGTGATTCGCAGTCATTTCAAAGTTGTCGTTTGGAGTTCTCCAAGAATAGAGGAGGATAATCTGCAAGGTAACCTTCTGAACTATCAACAATTTGATGCGTATGAACTTGGGAACGGTGTTATCTCATATTTGTTGTAAGCACTGGGTAATCACTGACTGTTATTTGCAGGTGCGTAGGGGTACGAATTTCCTGGCTTAAACCAATGCAACTTGGAATGGAGCAAATATTCTCTACTAATCTCAGTTGGGGCTTAACAGACGGTGAAAGAACCTTCCCCAGCTTCTCTTTGTAACATGGATACTTTCAAATATTGTGGCTGAACCAAGATGTTCTAATTCCATTGTAGTTTCAGATCAGTAGGTCCCTGCGAAAGGTCGGAGACAGACAGGTTATTGAGGTATTACGCCGGTTGGTGGCTTCTTTGATGATTTTCTGGGCATTTGTTGTGTTCTAAGTGCTGAAGTGTTTTTTCTCGGTGCTTTTTATCTTCTCAGTAGGTATGCTATTCACTGTATCTGAGGCATACTCATCTCCCTCAATTGTCTTGTCTGCAAGAGGTGCCCATGGCCAGAGGATTATATTTGACGATTGTCGTGAGGCTTACTTTTGGCTTCGCCAGAACACTGCACCAGATGCCAAGGTGATGTCGTGGTGGGATTATGGTTATCAAATCACGGCCACGGGAAAAAGAACAGTTATTGTTGACAAATAACACCTGGAACAAAACACACATATCAACTGTTGGGCGTGCAATGTCATCTTATGAGGATGAGGCGTACGACATAATGAGATCGCTTGATGTTGATTATGTATTAGTCGTGTTTGGTGGTGTTACTGGTTACTCCTCTGATGATATCAATAAATTTCTACGGATGGAGAGAATTGGCCCTGGAGCAACGTGGACATGTTCAAGACCATTATGCAGAGGTAAATCATTTATCTTGATCTCAGTATCTGATACCGAAACTTCAGATAAACTATGACCATCTGAAGATAAATTCACAACATTTCAGAAGTGCTTGATTGAACTTGCGGTGTGGAAGATGTTCGGAAGATTTTCCATTCTTGTAATTTATCATAATTCCAAATAAAGTTCTGCGGGGAAATAAACTGTGGTGTGTTGTTTTGCAACCGACGACCGAGACCCGTTGCGGAATAAAAGCACGTGACATTGCTGTTCCGAAGTATGAAGCCCCTTTTGGAAATTCCCTCAAGTGGAAAGAACACGGTGCTGCAAAAAGGACCAGAAGGCTAAAACAGTGGTCCTGTATCAGAAGTTTTCTTTGAGGTTTCTTTGTTGGCGAGATAAACAAATGAACGAGCTCCTTGTGTTGCTACTTTCCTTTTAAAACTTGTATATTAGTTTGGTAGCCAAAACTTGATTTTCAAATATGTAATTCAACTGTTGCATTGTAAGAATATGAATTTAGCCTTAGATGTTTGAAACATGGATGTGTATCTTCAGTTTGAATTAATTTGCCTGAGACATGGTATTGTGTAAGATCCAAGGCCGATGTGAATCACATGTAGAATCAATAAAACATCTCTTTAAGAAACAAGCTTTTAAAATGTGAGCACGACATGATCTTAAAGATCTCAGGAAGTGAATTTGAGGTTAATATATGGAATCTTGAGTTTGGCTCTATAATTCTTAAAAATGGACTTTCATAGCGATATGTGAAATCCTTGTCATAAATCTGGAATTTTTAACCCTTGAAATTGCATTCTAAATCTTTAATTTGAACTCTTGAATTTCTTCAGGATTGCCTGGAGCTTGTGATTTATGGATGAACTCATGAATTCAAAGAACCATGATTGCTTGAATCATAATCTCGGTGACCCTTGACTTGGAAGTCTAAACTCAGCGCCGGGGAGCTTCGTTCCTCTTTTTTTGATTGATAACTCAAGACCTGTCATGGAGCTTATAACCAGTTCATACCCAACACCGACAGATAGACCTTAATCTTCCCTTTAGAGCCCAAGTGCGTGATTATGAGGGTCCATGCCCGAAACATGTACTTACACAAATGGATTAGTCGCATAAATATTAAAATAAAGTCAAAATAACAAAAGAAAAAACGTAAAAAAAAAGAGGTGGGGTCTTAAGGTCAAAAATTAGGGTGCAACAAGTCTTCACTGTGGCACGTAGATCCTAGCAGTTATTCGTATTAGGCCTGGTGATCCAATCCAATGCAAAATACCGCTGACCCAACGCTGAGGACACAATATAAATACCCTCTTTCACTAGAGGGTCAGGTATTATATTCTCACTCTTTTTATGTACTGGTCTTTTCTCTCTTGCTGAAACTGACTTTAGCATAAGAGTACCTTGTAGGTACACCCCCTTCTCTTCTCCACCACCGGCGAATTAGGAGCTCATGACGTGTTGCTGACTGCTGATCTTTTTCTGATCTAGTAAGATCAAAATCAAATTGATATATTTTTTTTTAAATTAAAAGATCAAAATGAATCCGAAATAAAGTTAAGATATGAAAAGAAATATTTAACCTTATTTTAACAAAAAGTTCTTATATCCTCTACATTATTGGGGTAAGTGTTGTCCCAATTCATTTTTAGGGATGTAAATTGATATTCATGGGGTAGGTAGTATGATATTCGCATTTGCTCTATTGGATAAATATGATAGTTGTAATCGCCCTATATTCGTGCGGGTATCCGTTAAGTGGATAATATGCGGATTTTAAGACACATGCAGATATTTACACATATCCATGAATAATATTTTTTTAATCATTTAAAAAAACATTTTAAACTCATTTTAAGACACAAAAATATTATCACATAAAATCCATACATTTAAGTATTTCATTCTCAATTTAATAACAAAATTTTATCACATTAATTTTCTTTTTTTCACTAAAATATAATAATATTCATAACTTTTATTTTTAATCAAAACAAATGAAAGATTTTGTGATTATAAGCTATTCAGAAAGAGCAAACAACAAAAAAAAAAAAATAGAAATAGAGATACCGATTAAACGGAAAAAAGATTTTATCCGTTGTTTAAACAATGAAATTGTTGAAGTGAAATTTAAAGTGCTTCTCCATCCTAAAATAAGTGTTATTGGAAAGAGTAAATTAAAGACATTAATTAAAGGATACCAGATAAACCAAACGAAACACTCGCATACTTTCTCACCCCATATATCCCTCTCTAATATCTCCTGCATTTTTTTTTCAATTACAGTGTCGTGTGTGCAACTGCAACAACAATACCCATAAGAAAATCACCATGGCTACATGTTTCCGAGTCCCAATATCTATCCCTACTTCCATGCCCGCTTCACCTTCTCACTCTCCTTCCTCTCGTTTCCCTCCAACAAGATTCAGAACTCTTAGAACCCTTAACGCAATAGGCAAACCCAAAATTCCCATGCCCCCTTTCGACCCTAAAGACCCTTTTATCGCCAAACTCGCTTCCGTCGCCGCTTCTTCCCCTGAAACACTCCTCAAACCTCCCTCTAATCCCGATAATCTTCCTTTATTAGACATTTTCGATTCCCCTCAACTCATGGCCGCTCCCGCTCATGTAAATTTTTCATTCATTTTTATGTTCGTTAATTTTGTGTTGATATAGGTTATTGTTTAATGTTCTATATGTAATAGAGTTTAATTTTGGAATTGAAGTCAAATATTGATTATAGATTGAATAAACTCTTTGGTTAAATATTATATATTTTCTATGCATTAATTTTAATTATCATTATCTTGTGTGGTTAAAATAGCATGCAAGATCTGCTTCATACGGCGGCGGACGGCGTCGCAGAAGTTCACCGCCCGACCTGCCTTCGGTGCTGCTTGATGGTCGAATTGTTTACATTGGCATGCCTGTAAGTGTTCATTTATGCATTTGGTTTAATTCTGGTGTTTAGTTAATTATGACTGTTGTGCTTAATGACTTATTCTGTGGAAGACTGGATAAGTCATTCCACTTTTATTAAATTAATCTTATTAAAGTATTAGAAGTAGTGTACAGCGTAATAATTAAAGGACACAATTGAAAAAATTGTAATTATTGTTACATTAACAAGTGAGAATGACAATCATTTTGAAACAAATTTTATTTGATAAATATTAGAGTATTGATAAAAGAGCCCTAATATAATATAACTAAGGTTAATTAAGGGTGAGTTAAGAGTTAGTTAGAATTCTGTTACACTGTTGTAACAGAATCAGTTAGAGACTGTAGCTAAGGATTGTTATATATACACCCTAATCATAACTGTTGTAACTAACTAATTGTAATGAAATAACTCTTTCTCTCTCTTTCACTCTGCATTTCCTTCTTCTTTCTTCTTCATGAATTCTCTACTTCTAACGTGGTATCAATGAGCTTCTGATCTTTGGTGCTTGTTTTTGAGTTATGGCTATGCCTTCCCCGTCGCATTCATCTACAACAAATGCGGCAACTTCCGCAGCTGCAACAACCTTCAAACAGAAGATTTCTGTGAAATTGGGTGATTCCAATTATCGTCAATGGCGCCAACAAGTAGAAGGCGTCTTGCTTGGAACGAAAATGGTGAAATTCGTCGTTTCACCTCAAATTCCTGAGCGTTTCCTCTCTATTGCTGATCGCAATGCAGAAAATGAAAACCCTAACTTCATCACGTGGGAAGAACATGCATTGCTGTGCACCTGTCTACTGGCTACTGTCAACAATCTCTGATTCGCTTCTCTCAAGGTTTGTTTTGCTTCGTCATTCATGGCAAGTATGGGAAGAAGTTCACTCTTACTGCCACACACAGATGAAAACGCGCTCCAGACAGTTGCGATCTGAGTTAAGATCGCTGTCAAAGGGAACGCGCACCATCTCTGAGTTTCTTGCTCGTGTTTGCACCATTGTTGACACCTTGATGTCAATTGATGATCCTGTGTTGCATCGTGACCAAATTGCATCGTGACCAAATTGAGCTTATCCTTGAAGCTCTACCCTTTGAATTTGATTCAATAGTGGCTGCTGTTAACTCAAGACCTGAGTTTGTGTCTCTTAATGAGCTTGAGTCACTTCTTGCTCAAGAGTCACGCATTGAGAAGACCAAGAAAGAGGTCATTGAAGCTATTTCTGTTAAAACCTCACTCAAGGAAGTCCTCAACCTAATCTTCCTAATTCTGTTGAACCTCATGACTCAAGTCAGTTTGATGCTTATGGTGCTGGTTTTGGTGGACGTAATAACCAGTCTCGCGGCAGAGGACAACGTGGTGGTAGGTTTCGTGGTCGTGGTGGTGCACGCCATGGCTATAGAGATGCTGTTCAGTGCCAAATTTGTTACAAGCCTGGCCATGATGCCAGCTATTGCTATTATCGTCCTCCTGCTTCTGTTAACTTTGGTATGCCTCAGTCCAATGTGTGACTCATCCTAGGTACAGGGCTCCTAATCCTCAGTTTTTCTCTGCTCCTAGATCTGGCAATCCCTCTGTTCAAGCTCACTATGCATCACCAAGACCTCAGGCATCTGTAGCTGGTACTGATTACACTCCTTTCTACAACCAAAACTGGTATCCTGATTCTGGAGCTACTCACCATGTCACTCCTGATGCCTCAAATCTGGTGGAATCCATTTCTCTTCCTGGTTCTGATCAGGTTCATGTGGGAAATGAGCAAGGTTTGACTATTACCTCTCTTGGTTCTATATGACATTTCCTTCCAACTTATGCCCTAATAAGTCTCTTAAACTCAATAATCTTCTCTTAGTACCTTCTATTACTAAGAATCTGGTCAGTGTCAATCAATTTGCCAAAGATAATCTGGTCTTTTTTGAGTTTCATGCTAATGTTTGTTTTGTCAAATGTTAGGCTACCTCTAAGGTGTTGCTGAAGGGCTCACTTGGTAGTGATGGACTTTACAAGTTTGACAGCTCTCCTCATTCTTCATCTCCACAAGTGCTCAGTGTTGCTCATCAACCAGCAAGTCATCATCTTTCATCCTCTCATTTAGGACTTAGTCTTGATTTTCATGTTCAGTGTAATAATGTTAGTGTTTCCAGTCCTAGTTTGTACCAAATATGGCATCAGAAGTTAGGGCATCCTAGTCATGAAACTCTAAAGCATGTTCTTCAACTATGTAACATTCATATTCCTAATAAAACTTTTATAGATTTTTGCGATGCTTGTTGTATGGGCAAAGTCCATAGATTACCTTCTATTGCTTCTATTACTGCCTATACCAAACCACTAGAATTGGTTTTCTGTGATCTATGGGACCCTCCCTTATTACTTCTTCACGTGGTTTTACCTATTTTTTCACATGTGAGTTGATGCTTACGGCAGGTATACATGGTGTACCCTCTCAAGTTAAAGTCTCATACACTTAACACATTTGTTCAATTCAAAGCCCTTATTGAATTACAACTTAATCTTTAAATTAAGGCTGTCCAAACTGATGGTGGTGGTGAATTCAAGCCCCTCACCCATTTTCTGACCTCTCATGGCATCATTCACAGAATTACTTGCCCTCATACTCATCATCAAAATGGGTCTGTGGAGAGAAAGCATAGACATATTGTTGAAATAGGTATGACCCTCCTAGCCCAAGCCAGGTTGCCTTTTCATTTCTGGGATCATGCCTTTCTCGCAGCTACTTACCTCATCAACAGACTTCCAACCCCCTCTTTGGCCAATGTTTCTCCTTTCTTCTCTATTTCAAATACCTTGACTACAAATTTTTAAAGCCCTTTGGTTGTGCTTGCTTTCCTCACTTAAGACCTTACAATTCTAACAAGTTTGCCATGCACTCCACAAAATGTATTTTTCTTGGATATTCTTCATCTCACAAAGGCTACAAATGTATGGATTCTAGTGGCAGAATTTTCATTTCCAAAGATGTCTTGTTTAATGAGGTCAAGTTCCCCTATCCAGATTTGTTTCCTTCTCATGAGTCTGAGTCTACCATTGTGTCAGCAGGGTCACCTCAATTTGGTTCCTCCATTCCTAGGCCTTTGCAGGTTCATAATCCTACACAACACCCTTCACCTTTGCAAAGTCCCAGTCCCTCCAATCCTGATTCACCTAGCCCCAATGGTTTAGTTAACTTCAATTCATCTGTTTCTTTACCTATTGCTCCTATACCTAGCCATAATGGTTCAGCCAGCTCAAATTCTTCTCCACCTATGTCTGCTACACATCAGTCTGTTCCCAGTTCTATGGAAAATTCTCAGCATTTGTCTTCCACCACTGCCCCTCTTAAGTCTCAGCCTTTATCTCAGTCATCTTCACCTCAGCCCACTAGCGTTTCTTCTTCTACATCACCATCTCCTCCTGACTCCTCTCACTCTGTGTCAGGGAGTTCTTCCTCTTCACCTACCTCACCAAATGATGAATCTCTATCCCCTATCTCCTCACCCATACCCTCTATACACCCTCAAAATACACATCCTATGGTCACCAGGGCTAAAAATGGAATTGTTCAACCCAGGATACATCCTACCCTTCTAACTCATCTTGAACCAACCACCTATAAGCAGGCTATGGCTGCTCCTAAGTGGTATGCTGCTATGAAGTCTGAATATATGAGGCATTGATGAAAAACAACACCTGGACTCTTGTTCCTACTCCTGCTCACAGAAAACCAATGCTGCAAGTGGGTTTTTAGAGTGAAGGAAAACCCAGATGGTTCTGTTAACAAAATTGGACTATCCAACAGTTGGATGTTAATAATGCCTTTTTAAATGACATTCTCAATGAGGAGGTCTATATGGTACAACCTCCAGGTTTTGTGCAAGGTGACTCAGGTTTGATTTGTAAGCTGAACAAGGCACTATATGACCTTAAGGAGGCTCCTAGAGCCTGGTTTGATAGTCTCAAAGGTGCTCTTCTTTCTCTTAGATATATAGCCAGCAAGTGTGATCCTTCTCTATTCATCTTGCACTCTGCTGTGTGTTACACACTTGTCTTAGTGTATGTGGATGATATTATCCTCACTGGTTCCTCACAACCCTTCATCCATACTCTGGTGTCCAAGCTTAATCTTTCATTTTCTCTAAAAGATCAGCTGGACTATTTTCTTGGCTTAGAAGTTCACCATCTTACGAATGGCTCTCTCTTGTTATCCCAAGAAAAATACATTAGGGATCTCTTGACCAGAACTAACATGCTAGCAGCCAAGGGCATTGCCTCTCCTATGGCCTCCAGTACCAAGCTTTCTAAAGTTGGCTTAGCTCAAGTGAGTGATCCAACTTACTTCAGGTCTGTGGTAGGAGCTCTACAATATGCTACAGTTACAAGACCTGAAATTTCCTAAGCTGTTAACAAGGTCTGCCAGTTTTTGTCCAATTCTTTAGAGGACCATTGGAAGGCAGTTAAGAGAATCTTGAGATACTTGCAGGGCACCTCCAGTTATGGTCTTTTACTTGCTCCAGCCAATCTCAGCACTCCCATTACTATCACAGGCTTCTGTGATGCAGATTGGGCCTCTGACCCTGATGATATGAGGTCTACTTCAGGGGCATGTCTTTTTCTAGGCCCTAATCTTGTCTCTTGGTGGGCAAAGAAACAAACTCTGGTTGTCAGATCCAGTGCTGAAGCAGAATACAAAAGCCTTGCTCATGCCATAGCTGAGATCTTGTGGCTTCGATCCCTTCTCCTTGAGCTCAAAGTCAAGCATAGGTCCCTAGAGTTTTCTGTGACAACCTCAGTGCTATTTCCTTGGCTCACAATCCAGTTCTTCATTCTAGGACAAAGCACATGGAATTGGATATTCTCTCTTCATGAATTCTCTACTTCTAACAATAAATAAAACGACAGGCATTTTGAAATGGAGGGAGTATTAGTTAGTGGTACTTTTTTTTTTTTGGTAATTGAAAGTTGTAGAAACTGTTATGAATGTATTGCTTATTGTGTTATTCTGTAGTAGGTTTGAGTTTCACACTTATTCTAATATGCTTATGTTAATTATACTTTTTTTGCTATTGCAATATGTACAAACTGTTATGACTGTTACTAGTTTCTACCTATCAGTTGGTGCCGGCTGTCACCGAGCTTGTTATCGCAGAGCTTATGTACCTGCAGTGGATTCAGCCTAAAGAACCAATATATATTTACATAAACTCCACCGGGACTACCCGAGCGGATGGAGAAACGGTAATTGGCTAACAACTTGTTTTTAAAATTGAAATGTTTGATGTACTGTCTGTACTTGGACATATGCTTTGTATGGTTCACTATCTCTGTAAGATAAAACTGTCTGCCCCCTCCCTCGTTTCTCTCTTTCCTATCTCATGTATTTGTTGTTCTCGACTTTAGGTGGCGATGGAGTCAGAAGGTTTTGCCATTTATGATGCAATGATGCACATGCATACCAAGGTTTGTTTCTTCCCATTAACAATGCATTTCAAATGATTATTTACTTGTACTTCTTGTTGACTTTAGGTGATGGTTGTGCATGATAGTAATTTGATGAGACAATATTATGGGTTGCTTTGGTTTATGGAAATTGTGAAACAGAATGTAATTATGATGATTTGGACATTATCCCATCAACTCATGAGCTGTTGTTTAGATGATTCACGCAGATGGTAGCATGGTGACTCAGTAACTTATGTTTATAATAATTGCATGCATCCTTTGAGTAATGTATTTTAAAATTTAAATGATACTAATGGAAAATAGGTTAATTATATATATGCTCAGAATCATGTGCAATTGTTCATCCTTTTTTAAACGATTTATTAGTCTCTTCGATAACATTTGAGAATATACTGTCCCACGTATTTGGCTTTTGTGCTCTGAGCAGATACACACTCTAGCTATTGGTGTTGCTATAGGTCAAGCATGTTTACTACTTTCAGCCGGGACTCCTGGTAAACGCTTCATGATGCCCCATGCAAAAGGTACAGTTTGGACCCAATTGTTTCTATGTTTTTGCTTATAGTTGATTCTTCGCAGATTTGATACTTTTCTACTGGTTACTGTTTCAGCCATGATTCAGCAGCCTCGTGTTCCATCATCTGGGTTGAGACCAGCAACCGACGTTCTTATTCATGCAAAGGAGGTTAGTCAAACTTATGTTGCTACGTTGTGTTTTTTTATTAGGAATGATAAAGTTTGGTTGTGTTTTTTGTTTTTATTTTTTCCTTCTCATGTTGTGTCTGGCAATTGGCATGCTCATATTGTACTGTCATACTATTTTAATGGGATTAATTTTCTTATCAATAATAGTTTCGTGTTGATACCTTGTTTATGTTAAGTTTTTTATAGTCATTTCACTTAGTGGCCACAAGTTTCATATTTCATTTCCGCCCATATTTTAAATATACAATATCTAGAACCCAGAGGTAATTACCTGCACATCTATCTATGTATTTTCATTCTTGATGTTCTTGTATTTAAACCTAAATGTCCAACTATGTCTCTATGAAATCTTTGCCTTTACTCCGAAATTTTCAGGTGATACGAAACAGGGACACTCTAGTTAAACTACTGGCCAGACATACGAGAAATGTGAGTATCATGCATTAGGGATTACGTATCCTATTTATTCAATACACATGAAGTAGGATCTAATATTTTGTATTTTGCTTATTCTCTAAACTACTAGTCTGAGGAGAAAGTTGCTAACGTGATGAAGAGAGCATATTACATGGACCCATTAAAGGCAAAGGAATTTGGGGTCATTGACAAAGTAAGTGCTTATTTATATTGGGTTAGGAGTCTGTTTGTTTCAATTTTTTATTAAAAAATCACTTATTTAAAAAAAAATCTATTTTCAAAATTTGTAGGATAAATTACTTCACCACAAATTTTAAAACCATATTTTAAAAAAAAGTAAAAATAAATAGGCTCTTGGTAGATATTATCTTCTTCAGTCTAGGTTCTCAAACATGCTTTGCTGACCAATTTTGGAATACACTGTTCCCAGATTCTTTGGCGTGGCCAGGAGACGATTATGAGCGATGCTTCTTCTCGCGAAGATTTGGAAAACGTTACTGCTGATGCTGAAGTTGAAAGTAGATTTTAGTTCCTCTTTTGGATACATATCTTGCTCATGTAAGTAAAATATCCTCCTCTCTCAATGTTACTGCAAAATCTGGAATGTATTTATTTTGCTTACAACGAATGGTTTCTATTATTGAATCTTTGTTTAAATTGTAGGTAGAGTGAAAAGTAGGAATATGGAGAAACATATTAGGCAACATTTGGTTCATAGAGAAACTACTTTGTGTAAAGCCAACATATCTGTTGAACATTTTAAACATTTTGTTAGTAACTGGTGCCAAAGTACCATTTAATTATAGAAATTTACTTTGTGATGGTAGAATATGTTCACAACAGAAACCGAGTTACACAGACTATAGATAGTGCAGAATGTTAGACCTCTCATTAGAGAATATTATGTGGCAGAGAAGAACAAAACTAACTTTGGTCAGTTTCGTGTCAGTCATGGTTTTAGAATTTAGAGTCTGTCAGTTACTTTTTATTAATTAAATTTGTCGGTTATGTTGACTATTAGTAAGAAGAAATAGGAAGTGGGCAGGGGATAGTGTGTTATCTTGGAATTATTGAGTGGTAAGTGGGAGAGACCAAATTCTCAAACATTTGGGAAGGGGAGAGGCCAAGTCTCTCGAAATCTTGGAGAACAATTACCTTGTCTGTCGCGCAACGATTTCAGTGGGTTGCTGCATTGACCGACCTACAGAGGAAGGCCAACAAATGCCACTCCAGTAATTCCAAAATGTTAGGTGATTTGTCCTATTAAGTGTGGGATCCAGGTAGTGAAATTGGGGCTGCCACCCTTCAGCTTTAAATAACCTGCCAAGTTTAAGATAACCCATTTTGGCACATCTAGTGAATAGCATCATTCCAATGTGATGTGTATCTAGTCTCTTCTATATCTAGTCATTTTCTTGGAATACCCTAGTCACAGCTTGATATTCTTGTCCACTTGGTGAGCAGATTATAGCTTTTAATTTCCTCTGGCATGCTATTGTTTTCATAATTTTGTTTTTTTCTAAAGAATGTCAAGAGCAAAGTGATTACCTTTCTTTTTTGGTGTTGGTTCTGATATGAAGCTTTGTTGCTGTATTGCAGGTTACGGATGTCCTGGGGCCCTAAATACCATGTGTAGGAGATTTCTGATTTTCTTATATTTTTTCAACATTTTCAAAACTATCCCGGGCTCCTAGGGATGTTCCACACCTATTCACTGAAAAGTGTAAACTGTAGTTATTAAAAAAGTTGTAGTGCACAGAAGGCATGACTTTGATCAAACAAGAAAGGCATGACTTTGATCAAACAAGAAAACAACATAGTGATGAATTTCATCTATGTGGTCATAAAGTATATGGTTTTGCTTATGATCATATTCTTCTTGATGTCTTTCATATTCTTTGCAGATGTATTTTCGTCTCCTTTTTCATTCAAAAGTTTTAAGATGTTCAATAGTTCCTCGAACTGCAAAGCTTTAACTAATTAACTCTCATTTAGTGATGAGTGATGACTTATCCTAATCATTTAAATTGAGAATCTTTAGCTTAAAAACTAACCAACACCAAATTAGTGTGTTGGGTTACTAAGAGCAATGTATTTATCAAAATTTATTCTAGTATAAATGGAAGGTCTGTGGTTGTTGGAATGATTATATTTTGGTAAAACAACTTGCTGTTAGTAAGATGTTAAACCAAATGTTCTGTCATAACAATCAGATATCATGTCCACTATGATGTTGTGACATGTGCCAGAACATGTTATACCAGAAAGTTAGGGCATTACTATTTTAGTATTTTTAGTGTGTGTTTTAATTCATACACGTGGATTTTTTATGGGAGTATATTGTGAGAATTTTTATTATGATAGATTTTGTTAGTTTTCATAAAAAGGTTTCTTGAGCCTTTCTAGGAAAGTTTGTATTTTGCTTCAATTATCGTGCAGGATGATTTGCAGCAAGTTAAAACTGATTATTTGTGCGCTTCAAGAAGTCCAAGTCTATTAGGTCTGAATGCTATTTAAAGAGAAGACCTAACCCTATTGAAGGAGAGAATAACACAGAGAATTTGAAGAATAAGGATTGGTTGTGCTTTTGTTGGTCTTTAGGGTTTAATGTGTGTTAATTGTATGTCACTCGTGTATCTTCTGATGCATTGAGGTTGACTGATTGTTCATTGTTAACTGTCCACTTTAAAGCTTTTAAGTAAGAGTGTTGTTCTTGGTTGAAGTTTTAAAGCAAAATCAAGTATTGTCTTGGAAATGTGTTACTTCTATTTGTTGGTTATTGTTGAATTGTCACTGAGATTGTGACTGATTAGGGAGTGAGAGGGGGATCTCATATCTAGAGGGTGTCTAGATAGAAATTGCACAAGGTAGGGATTAGGCAAGTTGTAAACAGGAGAGTTTAACTTTGAACTAATACTATCATAGTGAATTTCCTTCATGGCTCGGTAGCCCCAAGATGTAGGTGAGTTGCATCGAATTAGGTTAACAATTCTGGTGTTAATTTTACTTTTTAGTCATTTAAATTCTTGTATCTTTGTTTGTGTGATCAAGCTGTTTTGATCCCAGTGTTGTGACGTCTGTCTCGACATTTAGTATCTGTGTGCCAGAATTTCAATTGGCATTAGAGCGGATCACCCTGTTCTTGATCTTACCGGATCATAAAAGGATCAACAACCAGAAACACGTGAGCTCCTTAATTTTTTGGTGGTGGAGAAGAGGAGGGGGGGGGGTGTACCTGCAAAGTACTCCAATGTCAAAGTAAGAGACGAAGTAGTAAGAGCAGGTACAGAGAAAGTGTGTAGAGAATTGAATCTCTGACCCTATAGTGAAAGAGGGTATTTATAATGTGCCCCCGACGCTTGGCCAACGATTACTTTGCACTGGGTTGGATTGTTAGGCCCAATACAAGTAACTGCCAGAGCTTACGTGGCATAGGGAAGACGAGCATGTGGTATTCGCCCTAGGTCAACTGCCTCATGACCTTCGGGAGGTGGGTAGTTGTCTGATGTTGTGTCCTCGCATGGGGAGCACGCGGAGGCCGTGGTGGAGACGTGTGAAAGCTCCCCGTATGCGTTGATGGATTGGGCCTTCATTGGGCCTCCCCAACGAGGAGCTGGGTTGGGTCGTGCCCGATGGTGGGTCTGCCTCTGGCCCAATCCAGAACTATTCTATTTTTGGGTGAGCTCTAAGGAGTTTGTATTTTGGTACTATAGACAAAGAAGGTGGAGGAAATGGTAACAGACCTCCACTCTTAGATGACACTAACTATGGCTATTGAAAGGCACATATGGTAGCTTTCTTAAAATCTATGGGTAAAAGAACTCAGAAGAATATCATCAAGGGTTGGGAGCACCTCGTGGTTAAGGATAATGATGGAAAAGAACCTTGAAGTCAGATGAGGATTGGACTAAGGAGGAAGATGAGACTGCTCTTGGAAACTCCAAAGCCGTGAATGCTCTATTCAATGGAGTTGACAAGAACATGTTTAGGTTGATCATCACTTGTACTGTGGCCAAGGATGCTTGAGAAATTCTCAAGACAACTCATGAAGAAACATCCAAGATGAAGATGTCTAGACTTCAACTTCTCACTACCAAATTTGAGAATCTAAAGATGAAAGAAGATGAAAGTATTCATGATTTCCACATGAATGTGCTTGAGATAACTAATGCCTTTAGTGCTTTAAGAGAAAAGATATCAGAAGAAAAACTAGTTAGGAAGATTCTTAGGCCTCTTCTTAAGAAATTTGACATGAAGGTCACAACCATTGAAGAAGCCCAAAACATCAGCAGTATGAGAGTTGGTGAGCTTGTTGGATCACTTCAAACTTTTGAATTGACCTTGAATGACATAATTGAAAAGAAGAACAAAAGCATTGCTTTTGTATCCAATGCTGAAGAGAAAAAGGGTCAAGCTAACCTAGATACTGATGAGGGATAGTCAAATACCCTTGTCTTACTTGGGAAGCAGTTCAATAGAATTCTGAAGAGAATGGATAGAAAAGGAAGACCAGGTGTCAAGGACATCACATCTTGCATCAGGAATAACTATGAGTCTCAAAAGAATTTCAGAACTAAAGAGAAGTCAGATCAAAGTAAAGGAATTCAATGTTATGAGTGTGAAGGCTTTGGTCACATAAGGCCAGAATGTTCCAACTATCTCAAGAAACAGAAAAGGGGATTGATTATTTCATGGTCTGATGATGACGAGTCAGAAGATGAATCCAACTCAGAAGTTGTTGAACCTATTACTGCTCTCTCTGGAAAATGGCCTGATGAAGTGGAAGCATGTGATGAAAATGATCTTTATAAAGATCTGGATGTGGACTACAAAGAAGCCTGCAATAGATGCGAGGAACATCAGAAGACAGAGGAAAATAAGATAAAGGCCATAGCTGAACTGGAGAATGAGAAAAAGGAACTTTTAGATGTTGCCTATCATCTTCAAAGTGAGATAACCCTCTTAAAGTCCAAACTCAATTATGTAACTGACTCCTTGAGAAGTATGGAAAATAAGGTTGATCAAATGAAAGATACTAGAGATGCAAAAGTTCATTATCACCCTGATAATAGACAAAGAAAAATGTCTGAAGAAAAGTTCTTTCCTTCTGAAAGGAAAAAGGTGACCATTATGTCCAATAACATGTTACAACATTCTGGTAGACATAATGAACCTCATAATAGTTATCAATCTTGTTGGAGATGTCATTACTGTGAATAGTATGGTCACATAAAGCCTTTATGTTACAAGTTGTATGGAAGTCTAATACCCTTACTCCAGTTAGCAAAAAGAGAAGTGTTAAAGAGAGGGGTGTTAACCTTATAACTCACACATCCTTGAGACCCTCAACTAAAAAAAACTGGTACTTTGACAGTGGATGTTCTAGACATATGACAGAGGTTCTAAAGTTGTTGATGGACATTAGATCTCTGCCTACAAATGTTGTCAGATTTGGTGGTGGTGTAAAAGGAGAAATTAAAAGAGTTGGAAAATTGATGGATGATGGATCACCTAGGTTGGAAGATGTTC